GGTACGATCACGCCTTGTCTCCTGGGGTCTAAACGTGCCAGTCACCTGTGGGCTTTGTACGCAACAACCTGAGACTAGGGACCATCTCCTTATCCATTGCGACTACTCCAAGCAAGTATGGGTCAAGGTTCTTCATCGCCTTGGTCATCAGTCCTCTTCACTCACGGACTGGTCAGAGTTAATAAGGTGGTTATCAATTTCCTCTCCGAAAAAAGTTGCTCTCCTGCGTTGCCTTGTATCTCAAGTCACAGTGTTCTCCTTGTGGAAAGAAAGAAACTCACGTCTGCATGAGGGATCACCACTATCGCCTTAACTACTCTTCACACAAATTGATCGATGCACCAAAGACATCATCCTTGCTCGAATTCACCGTAAGCACTATGAAAACTTGCTTTCCCTTTGGTTCACATATGAGTAATTGTATCTTCTGAATGTATGTTTCTTACCCTGTTTTGATTAGGCTTTTTTACATTCTTTTTTTTGGGCCTTTTTGAAACGTTATAGCTTCGCCGAGCTTTTGTAACAGAAACTGTTATTTTGGTATTTTAATTAACATTATTATCAAAAAAAAAAAACTGCATAAATTATGACTATTTTTTGTTAACAAAGTATGATTCTTGTGAAATTTGGTCAAAGATAAATGATTGCATGTATATTATTACGGTGAGCAATCAAATCTCTTAATTTAACTGCAACATTTTATTGCAGAACTCAATGACATAGAAGTTATATAACAAAGCCCCCTAAAATGTGGGCCTTTAAAGGCCCATAAATTTGCTTAATTATTAGATTAGCATGACCTTGGTTAAATTAATTACTCGTCGCTTAAATCTCTCGCTTTCCAAACGAAACCCAGAAGAAATCGAATACGATCTTCAACTAATCTCCACCAAAAAACCAAAGAATTTTTTTTGGATTCTTTAAGAAAAGATGAAATTCAGAAGCTTTGAGGAGTTTTGGTCTTTCTACATGATGCAACACTCGAATCCATCAACGAGACGATGGCACTTCATGGGTATAATCGGGAGCATCGTGGCTTTGATGTGTTCGATTCTGATCAGCCTGTGGTTCGTGGCTCTGGTTCCTCTGTTTGGGTACGGGTTCGCTTGGTATAGCCACTTCTTCGTGGAAGGGAATATTCCGGCGAGCTTTGGGCATCCTGTTTGGTCGTTTCTATGCGATCTCAAGATGTTTTGTTTGATGCTCACTGGAAGCATGGACAGAGAGATTAAGAGACTTGGCAAGAGACCATTGTTGCAACAGATCTCTTGAGAACAAAAATTGTTGTTTCTCTAGAATTGTCTTCTTCTCTATTTGGGCGTAACTTAGAAAAAAAATTAAAAATTGGGCGTGTTTTAGATCTTCCATTTGTAAGAATAATGGAAAGTGAAATTCTTATGTCATTCTTTACAAATTATAGTGATAAATATGAGTAACTGTAGAGAATTTTATCAATATTAATGTCAAAATTGTGAAATTTGGTATGGATAATTATAACACGAAAACTACTTTCCGCAGATAAAACAGTCTCAATTATTTATTATTTTTGCTGTCTTTTACATTTTCTTAGAATGCCCTTTTAACATTTCACTTCGTTTATTTAACAATATATTTTTGCATAGAGATTGTACAAATTTTTCATCTTAGCTTATGGTACTGATATATGTTTTAGATTACTTGTTTCCATCTGGAATATCTATAACATAATAAGGTTTGACTCACCTTTTTCATGTCTATTACATTACTTCCTCTGTCTAGGAGGAGCTGGTTATGGAAGAAAATAAGAATTGAGTTACCTCTTGGCTATGGCAAATTGGAGACAAAGTCATAAAGTGTGGCGAAATTTGAGCTCATTAGAGAGAGTTAGTTATAGCTGTCAATTGCACAAATGTCCATGGGCTTAGTTCAATCCGCATTTTATTTAGACGGATATGGTTTTAAAATTTTAAACTCACATCAAAACTGTCCAAATGGGCTAAGACCATATTTGTCCGCGACCAAATGGGTTTGGACAACACGGTCAGCGGACGGCCATGGTCTCCACCGAAACAATAATCAC